AAATAAATGAATAAATGAATAAATGCATAAATGCATAAATAAATAAACCGAATCCCCCCCACCAACCAAAAGCTAGCATTAGTTGTACCAGGCATGGTGCTGGGCGGTTTTTAAGTGCTATTGTCTGACCCTGTGGAGATCACTGTAGACGCTGTAAGATAGGATTATTATTTTCACCTCACAGGGCACATAACTTGCCTAACAACTAGTCATTGTCAGGGTTGGGATTTGAGCTCTGCCAGCTCCTGCTCCAAAGCCTTGGTTTTCCCTGAGTCAGCCGTGGGGTCTTCCGGAGGGCTCTTCTCGTCCTTGGCAGCCCCAGAGCTCCAACGGGCCCCGCCTGGTGCCTTCTCAGGAAACACGGCTCAGTTGTCCATTTGTGATCCCCAGAGGGCTGGTCCTCAGGTTGGTCAAAACTGGAGGACGTCCTACCACACACAGAGAACCAGTGCAGTGTGGTGGGTAGGGCGTCCGTGTTCTGGCTGCAGCCGGGCTGAGAACTTGTGCCCTGGTTCCCCACATGGGAGGACCTGTGACGGTGACCATGGCAGCTGGAAACAACCATGGTCCACAGATGCTGCAAAGGCGTATATCTGCACATGAACGAACACTCACATACGTGCAGGCACATGTGCATGTAAAATGTGGTCATCATTGCAGATGTATTGCATTGCCTGTCCGAGTGCGTGATGTTTACAAACTGTGGATAACCTGTCAGTGGATTGTAGAATCAGTTTCATGGTTATCCTTTAAATGAACTGAAGTAAGACAGGGTAGGGTAGAGTGAAGCCTAACATTAGCATTTATCATGAGAAGGACGTATAATGTTGGCCCATGACATGTTATTTAGTTATAGAAGTGTGTTTCTGGGGAGGGGGTATATTTGCATACTGGAATCTGATACAAAAATCTTAAACTATTTTTTAACCAAAAAGAGTTTGAAATTGGCTGTTATAAAGCTTGAAATTTTGGTTGTCAGTTTTTCAGACTCAGGGGAGGGTGTGGCAAGTCAGGAAAGTGTGAATAGAAAATCTTAAGCAACTAAAGCAATTTTTTGATAATTCCTCCCTAATCACAATTGTCTATTTATCAAAAGTCCAAGTCCTATGGGCCTGATGAAAACTCAGAAAATATCCCTGCTCATCAGCGGAGGAGTAGCCTCTAAATCCCAGTTCTGAATCCAAACAAATTCATACTCCACCAGGGTCTGAGTCTGTGAGCCACTCCTACGCGTGATTAGGACAATGAATATATATATGTTCATGTATAGCTGAAAAATTGTGCTCTACACTGAAATTTGACACAGCATTGTAAAATGATTATAAATCAATAAAAAATGTTTTAAAAAAGAAAAAATAATACGACAACTATTAAAAAAAGCACTTGCACTATTCTTCGGATTATTTTAAGTTCTCTTAATTTTCGAGTGAAGCCTGGAATTTCAGACTTTTAAAAAATGTTTTATTTTGAAAGCGTTACAGATTCACAGGACGTTGTAAAGACAGTAGACGGGTCCAGTCTCCTCCAATGGTGATGACGTCTTGTGTAAACTATACGGTATCAAATCCAGAAATTTTACATCATGTGGAACTTTAAATGGTACCTTTTATCACCAATAGCTTTGATATGTGAGACACAAGCACCGCTTGTGAGTAATGATTCCACATGTGCTCGACACACCTATACAACTTGCTTCTGCTTTCATTTGTTAGCCATTTGCTTACATCAGTAGGAAAGACTGGAGCTTTTTTTTTTTTAAAGCTGATTAATCTAAACCATATTTTAAAAGTTGGTTGCTTTAGGTCTGAGATCTTAATAGCAGATGCTGTGTCTGAAATTCCCAAATAATTGCCTCATCGCACCTTCTCCCTTTGTGCTAAGCACAGCCCTGTGTCATGTAACGTGTGAGCAGCGGGTCCCTCACTGAGAGCACCACCCACTTTGGGGTCTTGGTTCAACTGCTGGTCAGGCCTTTCGTCGACCTTCTTCTGCTTCCTCGAGAAAATGGTAGATTGAAGAAATACAGCACTGGATTTATAGCCACCGGCACTTCTGACTAGGAATCCGTGAACGACCCACACGTGGTTTCAATTCTAGGGGCGCTTCCCTCATCTTCCAGGTCCTTTTAATGTCATCCTAAGGCAGAATTTCCCCAGAGTTCTGTTGTTGGCTCGCAGGGGGTAGCTGCAGTATATGTATACGTATAGCTCAGTGGTAGAGCGCATGCTTAACATGCACGAGATCCTGGGTTCAATCCCCAGTCCCTCCATGAAAAAAAAAAAGTTGCCTGCATCAACCTCCCCGCCAAAACCCCCAACGCAGTACATACAGAGCGCCCGCAGTTGGCCGTATTCTGATTTTAAAGCCCACGACTTGCACAGCAGCGAGGTTCAGAATGCTTTGCACCAAGCTGGTTGCTGATCCTTTTTTTCATTCCTGACCTGTTAGAGTTGGCGCGTTTTGACTGGCATCGGATTGATTAGGAAAACCCCTCCCCACCCCTCCGTCTCTGTGTTAAAAAAAAGCCCCCAACCACAGAGCACCGTCTCCAGCCCACCTGCAGGGCGGCCCCGAGAACGCAGGTCTTCCCGGGCCGGCGCAGAAGCCGAGCTCCGGACGAGACCTTATACGGACCGGCAGGTTTCTGTGTGAATCTGTTTTCTCAGAGGTCCTCGCCTCTCCCAAAGCAGCAGCGAACATTTGTCTGGCCCCAAAGACTTAAAATAAACCCTGCTCTCCAATTACCAAAAAGAATATGCCCAGGTGAAGCTAGCACAGCTGAACTTATTATTAAAAAAAATCACTGCTTAATATTGTCCATGGGAGTGAGTCACGGCTATTGACACTTGCCAGTGGAGAGCTTAGCAGCAAGTCAGTGGAGGAATGAGGCTTTATCCTGGGAGACCCAGACTTTCCATTCTCTCACACAGAAGGCCTCCCTGCCGCGGCCTTAATAGCTCATTAAACACAAGCCTGCAAGCTGGGACTGGACAGACAGTGACAGCCCTCAGTGACACCTTTCAGCTGCTTAACGCGGAGGGGCTGCACGCAGGCATCCCGCTGGCTCCTGGGCTTCATCAGCACTGGCTTAGCACCGGGTACCAGCGCACTCACCCGGCTGCTGCCTCCCGCTTGCCAGCCGTGCTCTGTGGCGCCCTCTGCTGCCTCTCTCCGGAGAAAACACAGCTGTGGTTTCAACATGGGACCCCTGCCTCCCCATCACTGGGAGAACAGCCAGTGCTGCATTGTCAGGAAAGCTCCAGTTCTCCACCCTTTCCTCCTAGACCATGAGCGGGGCCATCTGCCCATCCCCTAGGGAGACTCCTACACACTGGCGGGATGAGTTCACTTTCCTACAAGTGTGTGGTGTGGAGGGTAACTGGGGAAGCCACTTAGGGCCTGAGAATCCTTTGGTTCTTATTTGCAAGCACTTAGGTGAGCCTGAATTTGCTGAATGCAGCTAGTCACCTAACGAATGAAAGGACTTTCAGGTCTATGCATCAGTCCGTTAAATAGAAATACACTGAGGGTAGGTGGGGATGTAGGTGGTGACTGTTCGACTTGTTCTTCTGTGTCCAAGGATCCTGGAATCCAGGCTTTGGAAGATTTTACCCTTTTCTTTCAGCCTCCCTCATCCCATTTCAGGATTATGATAATTCTCTTTGGATTGAGGTTATGAATCCCCTTTCTGCAAGTGGTCACGTGGCTGATACACGTAGACAAGGGGCTTCCGACCACCTGCCTCCATGCTTCATGTGGTTTTCTCCTTCTGGAAGGAGGAGCTCGGGAGGGTCCAGCTGCGCACTCATGTGTGTTCCTCTTTGAGACCAGCCTTACACATCGGTGAGACAGCCAGGAGGGTTTAAGAAGACAGACCATACTTGAAGGAGGTTGATGGAATCTGACCTCACATGAGTGCTGTATTCATAATTGTGATGCTCACAGACTCGGCACATTTTAAAGGGACTTACAAGGCTTTGTCCAATGTCCAGCATCCCTGACAGATGGTCACTAATCTGCTGGGTCATTTCTAGTGACAGGAGTGAGGGCTCCATACCTTGGAAGGTAGCCCATCCATTTTTTAAAAGGCAAAATGTAGGAATAAGACTACCAGTGGGGAAGAATCCAGTCCCATCTCTCCTAACACACCTTGCTGGTGGGGTTGATAAACTTAGCCACGGGTTTGGAAGTGGGAGCTGTTTTGGGGGTGATTTGCTTGGGGTGGGTCCTGCTGGGGCCCCCTGACCCCATGGCCTCTGTCTACTGCAGCAAAGAGATGTGTGACCAGCAGAACGCCTTCACCATGTGTCCCCTGTGTGACAAGTCCTGCGATTACTGGAACCTCAGCTCGGCCTGCGGCACGGCGCGGGCCAGCCACCTGTTTGACAACCCCGCCACCGTCTTCTTCTCCATCTTCATGGCTCTGTGGGGTGAGTGGTCGTCGTGAGGCTGGCTTCCGCGGGCGGGACTTTTCAATGGGCAGAGTGACTCAGCTCTAAAGCCTGTATCCTTTGGTTTACTTTCTTAGTATTTAGTATTTACTTAGTATTTACTTCCTTGTATCTCAAGAAGTGTGTCAGGGACAATAGATTTCTCTGCTTTACTCATCCATGTGAATAGAACTAAGGCTATTCTCCGTGGCTTTAAATATATATGTATTTATATATTTATATTTTAAATATTCAAATATATATATATTTTAAAGAGATAGACCTTGTATTAACCTTGTATTAATCTCACGTGTGATTTATTCAGAATTTGAAGCAATGCATGTTTGGAAAAACCCCACGCACACTGCTGGCACCTCCAGTTACACCTACTAGGACGTGTTGTAAAGTCACAGACGTCATCTGGCGTGACATGCGGAGTGGTGGGCTGCCTGCCATGGCTGCAGAGCTAGCTGGGGGTAAAGGTGGGCCCAGACCTGGTCTCATGACTCCGGGATCTGTGCAATTTCCAGGACACCAGGAGGGCGGAATGCAGAGATTCTATTTAATGCCAGAGGGCTGTTTTCAATATTCCCACCGAAGGGATCTGGGAAGGAAGGAACAAATAGTTCCTGCATTTCCCTCCTCCTCCCTGACCCCCGGAGTGTCCGGGTAATAAGCCTTCCCTGGGCCACGGCCATGACCACACACACAACACACACACACACACACCCTAGTCTTACAAGCTGGAATGACCTGGACTAACAACCCCATGGTCACCGATCATTTCCAAGAAGACACACCCCACAGGTATTAAAAAAGGGACCAAGCGCTGGTTTCTGGAGTGCAGCGTGGGGATACACACCACAGTGTACACATATGTGTTCTTTTCATTATAGGTTATTACGAGATACTGAATATAGTTCCCTGCGCTGTACAGTAGGACCTTGTTTCTCTGTTTTATGAAGGGCAGTGTGTATCTGCTAACTCCAAACTCCTAGTTTATTCCTTCCTCCCCATTTCCCCTTTGATAACCAGAAGTTTGTTTTCTATGTCTGTGAGCCTGTTTCTGTTTTGTAAATAAATTCATTTGTATCATTTTTCAGATTTCACATATAAGTGGTGACATACGAGATTTGTAGGTAAATCAACTGTACTTCAATTTAAATAAGGGGACCAAATGGACTTGTTTCAGCCCATTTTGAGCAGCCACCTGCCTGTCACTCATTCCTAGAAGTGCGGGCCCTCATCTTTCCCGTCGGATCCCGGGCCGTCAGGGCCACGGGCGATCCTGGTGCAGCCACGAGAGCTGCCTGACGTGTCACTGACTCCGCGGGGCCTGGAGGGCGTGCCAGGAGGGGCTGTGGGTCACGCGTCCCTGCAAGTGTGAGCAGGAGAGAGGGAGGGGTCTGTCCCCAGCCGTGCTGGGAGAGCTGGCCGCAGCCACCCCCGCCCTCCATCCCCTTGGGCACCGCGCGTCGGCTGGAGATTGAGCCAGACTGGAAAGATCCCATGTGACCAGGCCACCAAGGAAGATGTCTGGGGGGCAGTCGATTCTCTCAGGGAAAACAGCCTCTGCCCAGGGGAACAGAGGCAGTGTCAGCTCAGAAAAATAGGGGGGGAGCAGGAGGACACTGCACTGTGACCAGAGAGCCCCGGGGCCGTCCGCTGGAAAGGTCAGGAGAGCAGACTGACCCACTGCTGCTTCCCCGGCGGTCAGAGCAGCTCTGCGTGCCGTGGCGGGGACGGCCCCTTGTGATCACCCCCAAACCCGCCTGAGCTGATTGGAGCCCAAAACACACATTTTTTTTTTTTTGATGCGGTGCAGCCCCAGTCCCCACTCACATGTCCCGCAGACGCCACGGTGACTACGTGGCTGGAGCTTAAGGACACTGGGTCCACGATCCCTTAAGAACTTTCTTGGGGTGCGTGTTCCTTACTGGAGAGAAACTGGGTTTTCAGTTTTACTTTCCTGCTTTCAGCTGCCTCGTTTGTCTCCTCAGTAGCTGTGATGAGCATATACCCCCACCCCTGCTGAGATCCGCACCATTGGCTGCACCGCTCCCCCAACCCCTGTCCCCCCACCCCTGTCCCCTACCCCGTCCCCCCACCCTGGCTCCTCTCCCTTCCTCTCAGTAGCAGCACAAATACGGTGGACTGTGTCAGTGCTTCCCAGCTTAGGGCAGCGTTTGGCTTTGTTATTTTAACGGCCTCATTGTGTTTTATGTGTCTGTGTATTTGGTCACAGCAGCCAAGAGCCCCCAGGGCACGACTGCCTCCAAATTACAATTAAAAATAATGGCAGTGCCTCTCATTAGGTGATTACCATGATCAGCGGCGCTGTGCTGGGGGGGCCCAAGCCTGCCAGGAGGAAGGCCGGGGAGAGGCGGTTCTCTGCGGGGAGGGACCCGGCGGTTGGTGGAGCAGGAGTCGGGCTGCTGAGACGGGGGTGTCGGGGGCTCGGTCAGCGGGGCCTGGGTGTGTCTGAGGCCTCAGGCCCGGCTTCTCTGGGGTCTGGCATCAAACTAGGGGAACTCTGGGAAGGGGGTGCAGCCGTATTGTAAAGTGGGGAGGGGGGAACTAAAGGGACAAGGTTTAAGGACACTGACTTGGGGGTCAGGCCATCCTAAATATGGGTCTCAGTCCTGCCCCCCACCAGCTGTGGCTCCCACAGCACCCTGGCTGTGCGCCATGGCAGTCAGGCCTCTCAGCCGAGGCGCTGTACAGCCCGGTGCATCACGGTCCTCACCTGTCGAACAGGTGCGGTGACACTGCCCCGGAGCGTTCTGGCTGTGAATGGGACGTGTGTGCAGACTCTTCGAGTGGTGCCGGCACGCGATCCACACCAGGAGCTGTGCGCTGCTCGTCATCGTCACGATGGTTCTCCCCTGTCCTCCTGACTCCTTTCGGTGGCTCTCTGGCCCCCTCATCCCTTCCCAGTCTGACTTCTCTCCTTCACGGGGAGCACAGTCTGTGTGCAGAGCCCTCCTCAGGCACAAAGAACAGTGCAGGAAGAGAGGGACGCCCCACTTGTCCTGAGAGCACCCCCAGCCCCAGGCCGGTGTCGGGAGGCCGGGACCCACGCACACGCCAAAGCCTCATATCCGAGGGAGAGAGCACGCGGCTCAGTGCACCGAGGGAACAGACGTAGCCTTGAGTAGTTGCACATGTAGCCAGTCGGCCCCGCGCTGGGCCCGTTGGACCCAGGGTGACATGGGAGGGGGACAGTTTGCACAAGTTGGGGATGAAGAGGACAGTGAGAGATGACCTTGGCTGCAATGCGGGCGTGAGGTGTGTGTTGACAAATGGCGGGGATTGATTTGGACAGATGGGTCAGGTCAAATATACAAGGTCCTCACGGCCAGAGGGAGAATTCTAGACAGCAGGGACCCACTGAAATTTTAGGGGGAGAGTCTTGGCACCCTCCCTCTCCTCGCCCCCCATTCACTGCCCAAAGGCCCCTGCTCTTCCAGACTCGGCCTCGATGCTCTGACAGCTGGCACTCCCTCTCCCACAAGCCCACAGCTTTCCACCTGGGTCGTGCGCAAGGCTCTGAGCACTTGATGCCTTGTGTCGGGGTCATTTAAAGTCTCTCCTCATAGACTAGACAAGGTGGGAGCAAAATCCACAGGAGATTCACCCAGTCTCCCTCACAACGTGCAGGACGCTGTTCTGTACACTGCAGGTGCCCTGGTCAGGCCTAGGTTCTTGGCAGGATTACAAATTCATTCAAGCTTGCGCCAGTGACGGGAGAGTGTAAGAAAGCAAGAGGCCAGCTCATGGAGGCAGGAGATTAAATGCAGCCAGGCCTCTGGGGAGCCGGAGCTGGAGGACCTACCTGAAACCTTCCTCCTCCTTCTCCGGGCTGCGTGGATTGCCCCCATTTCTGCCCCCATTTGTGTCTCTTAGTTTCAGTTTTCAGAAGAGAGCTTCCGACTGGCCCGTCAGCAGGCTTCAGTTGGGGGGTCCAGCCCTGGTGTAACGGCCGGGGCCGCAGAGCCGAGGGGGCGGCTCTTGCTGCTGCACGTCGGGCTGGGCCTTCAAGGGCTGTGGTTGGAGCTGCAGATGGACCAGTGTGTCGGGGGGGCAGGCCTTGGACAGAGGTGTGCTGAACAGATGGAGGAGTGAGTGACTGTCACTTACAAGACATGAGTCTCTCAGGGGCAGGTGGGCTGGGCTGGAGGGCTGGGGCCCTGGGCGCAGGTGGGACTAGGAGACTCTTCCATAACCTCAGGATGAGGTGACTTGGGCCCAGAGAAGGGGTGTCGTGCTGGGGACGGAAAGAAAGATGGGGAAAAGGTGAGAGTGCAGGGAGGAGGGGTAGGAAGAGGGGATGTACAGGGAAGATGAGGTTTGTCAAAGAAGACTACAAACCTCACACTCTTCCATTCCTCCTCCATTTCTTTTTTTTTTAAATTGAAGTAGAGTTGATTTACAATGTTGTGTTAGTTTCTGGTGTACAACGTAGTTATTCAGTTATATATATTTTTCATATTCTTTTTCATTATAGGTTATTATGAGATATTGAATATAGTCTTTCTTCATTTCTTGAGATCAGTGTTTACTTTTTCTTATAACCTAGAAAAGGGAAAAGTGTATGTGTGTGTGTGTGTGTGTCTGTGTATGTCTGTGTGTGTGTATGCCCGCGTGTGTGTGTCTGTGTCTGTCTCTGTGTATACGCCTCCCTTTATGCATATCTCTTGGGCTCTCAAGGATGTGGAATATTTCAAGCAGTTCCAGTTAGAAGCAGGGGGAAGGGAATAAATGCTTCAAACAAAGTCCCCAAATTTGAAAGTTACGTTTATCCACCATTTCCCTTGGTGAACCCAAAGGGAGCTCAAAATCTGCTCTTCAGTTAATGGAATTGTTTCTTTCTCTCTAAGCCACCATGTTTCTTGAAAACTGGAAGAGACTGCAGATGCGCCTGGGCTACTTCTGGGACCTGACCGGTATAGACGAGGAAGAAGTGAGTTCTCCCGCCTACTGCCTTCTTTCTCCCTGGAAGTAGATTGTCTTGCATCTGCCTGTCACCTGCCAAGTCTCGCTGTGGCTCCTTCTGTAGTTTGGCTGCACGGGCGCGGCCATGAGTGACAGGCCTGGGACCCAGAGTGAAGCCCTCTCTTCTCTTGAGCTGTGAGACGGTGGACTTGATGGGCAGCCAGGTGTCCTGTGAGCCTCCCTGGGAAAGAGTGGCACGAGGCACGAGTCCTGTGGTGGCCTGGAGATCCGACTCAGCTTTCCTCTCCCTCTCGCCTCTTTGGTGCCCCACAGCATGAGGTCAGAGAACGTGACCCAGAGCACGGACGTGTCCCAGTGCTTCTGTGAGCCTCCTGAAGGTCAAGGGGGAGGCATGGGTGCCAGTTGCCACTTGCTTAGGGAGGAAGAGAGGACCACTGACTCACTGCCGTGTAGGCCAGGACAGCTTTTCGTTGAGGAAGTTTGTTGAGTGGGTCTCTGGATTTACGCCTTCACATCAGTGCAGGTTTGTCCTGAGCTGGCCTGGAGACCAGCCGGGTGGAAGTAGCTTTGGGAGATGCTTCCCAGCGTCTCGGTGGGAGGGGTTATGCCTTTGTGATGATTTAGCATCAGACCACCCCTCCAGGGAGGTGGTGTTCAAGGACGACCTGCCCATAGCTGGGTATGCTGGCCCTCCCCCGCGGGGTCTAGATTCTGCTCTGGCCAGGAGCTCAGTTGTCCATCTCTCTGCCTTTGAGTAATCCTGTCCCCTCACCGGACCTTCTTGTCTACAGGCAGGGAGAGCCTTGTCTGGCCTGCTTCGGTTGGAAAGCAGAGCAGCCCAAGACGCTGCTTTGAGAGTCCCAGACTCCCGTCTTGTGCCAGGAGCTCTTGACTTGTTTTAAACACCCGAGATTGGGGCCCAGTGTGCGGTGAGGTGGGCACAGCCGCCCCGAGAGGGACGCAAGGACATGCCTCTGTGTGATGTCACGGCGTGTCTTTGGAGAGTCGGGGGCAGGTCAGGATCACCCTGCAGTCAGGAGGGAGGGCTCCTCAGCTCCTTTGCAGACCGTGACAGGGTGGAAGCAGCTCTAGCTTGAAGGGGTTTAGCGTCCGCACTGTGGTCCTCAGCAAAAAGATCCTGTTGTGGGTTTTGAGCTAACATCTCCCGTGAGGAGAAAAATAGAAGAGAAGCAACCGTTTCAGAGGCCACGGAGCAAAATTGCAGACCACGGTTCTGAGAGTATTTTGGCGTGATCGGTCGATGATGCAGGCAGGTGAAGCCCTCACACCTGTGGATGTTCATCTTTGGGAGCTGTAGGGAGGGCCCGCCAGTGAGGCCAGGGGTACACTGTTAGGTTCTCTTTGAAGTCAGTCATCCATCTTCCCGCCCCAGCGTCCGCGGTGATCACACCACGCACTTTCTGATTAGTCGGGCACTTTTTGTCACGTCTGTGACTCACCACTCGGGTTTGTGTTGCCGGATGTCCCGGTGATGTCTCTTGAGCACTGGTGTACTTGCCAATGAGTCCCTCACCTCGGCTGTACCGGAAACAGGTCCAGGCAAGTGAGTTTTCAGGTTCCCTGTGGCCACCTTTAACTTTGAGGCTTATTGGTCGCCATTTTGCAGAATAGTGGAGCAGGGAGGGGGTTTTATTGTTCCCCTCGCTCCCAGCTGGCGGGGCGGACACGTCTGTTTCTCCAGCGGGGATTTGGCTTCTTGAAACTGCAAGTCGAGGTATGAGGATGGACTGTGGGAGGAGCAGATGCAGCCCGTGGCCTTTGGGCAAACTGCGGTGTAAAGCACAGGGCTCCTCTCCGTATCAGCTGCCTGGTTAACATTTCCTCTCTCCTTTCTCAACACTGGCGCCACCCCCAGGAACGTGCCCAGGTTTGGTTTTCAGTGTGCCAGCAAGTGTCGTGTGTCCCCTCTCTCCCCTATGTTGTATCCCTGGTCTAGATGCCTCGTGCTTGTGTGCCGAGTGGCCGTTGCGTGCGGAGCGGCCGTTGTGTGCGGTGCAGCCATTCGTGCCCAATAGCATCCGATCCCAGATCCCGATTTACTGTACTTGTGGTGTCTGGTACAACCCACAGGCCAAGGCTGTCCTGCACCTGTTTAGTAACCACTCTTGGATGCTGGGTTTTAGGAACACTCCCGGCCTGAGTATGAAACCAAAGTTCGAGAGAAGATGCTGAAGGAGAGTGACAAGTCCGTGGTCCAGAAGTTGGGAACCAGTACGACTGAGGGTGAGGATGAGGTAAGACGCTGGTGCCTGATGCTCTCCATCCTTATTATTTCTTAAGACCTTGTGGTCATTTCATTGGGAATGCCTTTGTGGACAGAGGCGGGGCTGGAGAAGGGCTGACGGTGGTGGGACAGGATGGAATGAGAGCATTCCCGGGTGGCAGTGTCTGGACGAAATGAGAGAGCAGGTCGGAGAAGAAAGCACCTGTTTGAAGCCTGGCTCCAGCTCCTCCGGACTGCGTTGACTACATGTGGAGTGAAAATAGCGCCTGTCGGTCGGGCAGCTCGCCCTCACCCAGTGCTTGCTCCGGGCCAGGCACTGTTCCCATGCGTGGGGTTATTTTACTCTCACAGTAAGTGCCTAAGACTGGCATAATTTTTAGGTTAAATGGAGACTCATGAAAAAAGTTATGTCCACAGATTAAGTCGTTGGCCAGAGGTCACCCAAGCCAGTGAATGATGGATGCATCTGGGATTCCAAGCCCGGTCTGTCCCTGATGGTCTGTGCAGCTGACCCTGAGGTGATGCTCCCCTTCAGGTGCCCTGGGGGCGTCGAAGGACAAAGCGAGAAATGGCTCTCCGGGCCGAGCGGCTCATACGCTGGTCCGCACGTTTTGTTTTATCTGGGTGGGCCTCCGCAGTAGGGACGTGATGGTGAACTTGGCTTGTGAGTCGTATTTCTGAGTTTTATGGTGGCATTTAGACATTGAAACAGAGCCTCAGAATCTGTGCTGTGATCTGTAAATACTCGCGGTGCGTGTGCGGTGGGGGTCCGGTGGGGGTTGGGGTGGGCTCTTTGGCAGTGCCTGTCTCCCCTGAGTGCGCCCTGCTTTGAAACCAAGCGTGCGTGTGTGTGTTTATGTCTTTCCTAATTTGGTTCCCCCCAAAAAAAATCAGCGAGGTTGACAATCTGTTGTTTTTACATGTGTCTTTTCTCCATCTTGGACTTGAATTCAGATTTCATTTAATTTTACATTCTTTAAGTTGGAACCATTCATGTTAACATGCAAATTTATTCAAGCACCAAAACAGAAGAATGTGGTGTTTTTGAGCCCAGGATACTAGCTTTTTTTTTTAAAAAAAAAAAAAAAGAAAGAAAAGAAAACAGGACTTAGAAGAGAAAGAGGGTGGCCATCTGAGTTATTTCCCTTGAAAAACAGTAGGTCCAAGACCACCAATTATTTGAGGAAAAAATGAATTCATTCTTAGGGAAGACTGATCATCTCCACCACTCTCATCAGAGAGCAAACATATTGTGTTCTGGCAGCTTTGGCTATCCCACGCGACTTTCTCCACCCCGGGGCAAGATGCAATGGATAATTTTGTGGAAATCACATGTAACTTTTATTGACCACTGCCTCATTTAATTTTAATTCCATAGATGGGACTGCCAAGGAGCTGGAATTGCGTACATTGAGGCTCATATAAACACTGCTTGGATATATATGCATGACAGGTCAAGTAACTTTCAGGAACCATGAATAATTGAAAACCATCTGAATGCGTTATGAATGATACAATGTTTATGTTTTAGCATTCAACATCTATTTTCATTACACTGTTGAGAATGCAAAGCTCAAAGCATCTAATGCCTTATAGGCACTGGGGGGGAAATGACCGTCCCAAATGAGCAGTGTAAGAAGAGAAATGGCCTGGAATTTGACTGTCAGCATCCTTCTTGTGCTCCCTCAGTTCTGCTAATACTGGAAATGCTCCTGTCCTTGCTGTAAGTGTAGCCAGAGGTGGGAGATGAAGGGAGGAGCACGCATTGCTGCCTGATGGGAAGGAGGCTGCCCTCGCCTCCAGGAAGAGTTGAGGTCGAGCCCCACGGCCTCACAGGGCGCGGGGGCACCATCGTGGGTGGGCTGGTCGGGAAGGGCACTTGCTTCCGGGAAATAGACAGGGACTAAGAATCGAGGTCTGGCTGGTGGTCTTGGATGTGCTTCTTTCATCCCACAGGGTCACCTTGGCTCTGCCTTCATTGTAACCCTGAGGCTGCGTATCCCGTCTCCCCTTACACCCCTTCCTCTTGAGTGATAAAAAGCTACCGTTTACTGAGGCCGAGGTGGCAGAGGAACTTCCCAAAGACCACGAAGCTCGTTGTGGGGGAGCTTGTAGTCAAACTCAGCTCCACCTGATCCCCATTGCTTTAAAAAATTCTTTTTTAAGATGTAAAGTTCATTTCTAAAAACGCCTTTATAGCAATTTAATCCTCAGACCATAAAATTCACCCATTTAAATTATACAACTTGGTAGGTTTTAGTGTCATCACAGATTGTGCAGTCATTCCCACAACCTGAGTTTAAAACATTTTCATCACCTCAAAAAGAAACCCTCTCCCCTGGGAAGCAAGTAGCCCACTGTCTGTTCTTATCTGCCTGCTGTGGACTTCCTTGTAAGTGAAATCATGCGAAATGTGGTATTTCTCTCCTTCCACTTAGCAGAATGTTTTCACGATTCGCCCACGTTGTAGCCATTTCACTATGTCGTTCTTTTTTATTGCCGCATCATATTCTGTACTTTGGACAGCCCTAATTTTATTTATGTGTTCAGCAGTTGATGGACCTTTGGATGGCTCCCACCTTTCAGCTGTTATTACGAGCAGTGCCGCTACGAACATTTGCTTACAAGTTTTTGTGTGGATGTGTGTTTTCACTTCTTTGGGACATGAACATGAGAGTAGAAGCGCTGGTTCGTATGGTCACTCTGTGTTTAACATGCTGAAGAATTGCTATAATATTTTTCAAAGTGTCTGCACCATTTTGCATGCCAGCCAGCAGTGTGTGACGGCTCTAATTTCCCCACATCCTCACCAACACTTGTTGTTATCTTTCTTTTTAACTTTTTATCCATCCTAGTTGTGTGAAGTGGTATTTCATTGTGGTTTTCATGAGCATTTCCATAGTGACTAATGACTTGAGCATCATTTCATGTGCTTATTGGCAATTTTTATGTCTTCTTTGGAAAAATATCTATTCAAATCCTTGGCCCATTTTTTAAAGTTGGGTTAATTGTCTTTTTATTATTGTGTTAAGAGTTATTTACACAATCTGAACACCAGTCCCTTATCAGATAATATGAGTTACAAATATCTTCTCCCATTCTATGGATTTGTTTTTTTATTTAATTGATCCAGTTTGCTGCACAAAAGTTTTTTTTGATGTAGTTCAATTTACCTATTTTTCCTTTTGTCACTTTGCTTTTGTGTCATGTCTAAGAAACCATTGCTTAATCCAATGCCATGGAGATATACTTCCAGCTTTTCTTCTGAGAATTTTACAGTGTGAACTCTTATCTGTAGGTCAATGATCCATTTTGAGTTAATTTTTGTGTGTGATGTACATAAGAGGTCCACGTTTTTTTTGCAAGGATACTCAGTTGTTCCAGCACCACTTGTTGAAGAGACTCCATTTTCTCCATTGAATTATCTTGACACTCTTATCAAAAATCCACCTGTCATAAATGTGCGAGTTCATTTCTAGACACTCAGTTTTGTTCCATTAGTGTGTATGTCCTTCCTTAGGTCAGTACCATATTATCTTGATTAATTACTGCACCTATGTATACGTTTTGAAATTGGGAATGTGACTCTGAGTTTGTGCTTCTTTTTCAAAATTGTATTGACATTTTGGGATGTCTTGCATTTCCTTATGAATTTTATGACTAATTTGTCAGTTTCTGCAAAAAACGTAAACTGGGATTTTTGACAGGGATCGATTTGAATCTGCAGGTTAATTCAGGAAGTAGCGCCATCTCAACAATACTGAGTCTTCTAATCTATGAACATGGTATAGCTTTCCATTTATTTAGATCTTCTTTAGTTTCTTTAAAAATGTTTTATATTTTCAGGGTACAGGTTTTGCACGTCTTTTGTTAAATGTTTACAATCGTTTGATTCTTCTTCATGCGATTGCAGGCAGAATGGTTTTCTTCATTTCAATTTTGGATTGTTTATTGCTAGTGTATAGAAGTATAATTGATTTTCGTGCATTGATTTTATATCCTACCACTCTGCTGAACTAATTTATGAGTTTTCGTAGTTTTTAATGGGTTCCTGAGGATTTTCTGTTTTTAAGATCATGTCATCTGTAGAGGGAGTTAGTTTTGCTTTTTCTTTTCCCAACCTGAATGCACTTTCTCTCTCTCCCTCCATCCCTCCTTTTTCCCCGCATTGCCCTGACTACAATCTCTTATGGAATGTTGAATAGAAGTGATGAGAATCTACTTCTTTGTTTCGCTCTTGATCTTAAGAGAAAAATACTAGCCTTTCACCATTAAGAAGTATGGTGTTAGCCGCAGCCCATTGCTTTTGAACTCTCTCTGTAAGGCTTCGCCAAGGAGAATTCACACCCCATCAACAGGGTGCTGATCTGAAGGGCGGTGTTCTACACTGTGATGAGACATAACCACGCATCCACACCTGGGGGGACAAGGTGGTAAGGCCAGAGGGCCTCCTGGTGCTTCTCCAGGTAGCTGAGCCCAGCTCTGGTCTCCCCTGCCTCAGCTGGCATGTGGGGAGCTGGCGTTGCAGCCTCTGCAGTTCTGAGAGCTGGTGCTTTTCTTTGTGGACGTGAAAGGTCACGTTGGTCTTTAGCCTGTGACTGGGGGACAGACTGTCTCGTATATTTTAGACAGTGGCCATTTGGCTATTTTTATGTCTCCTGTTCTGGTTTTCAAGGCTTTGGGCATGGTCAGGACTACAAAATGATGAAATTATAAGTGGTATTTATGGTGTGCTCGCTCCATGCAGGTCTTTATGGGTTTTATTTCATTTAAGTCTCAAAACCATTATTATTTCCAATTTTATCCTTGAGGAAACTGAGGCGTACTTATCTAGAAATAAGGAACTTGCTCGATATGTGTATGTGGACAGATGGTCTGACTCAAGAGCAATGCTTTTGACCTTCACGCTCCTCTGCCTTTCACATGTTCCCCTTCAACGATCCTCACACCCTCCTGAAGACTCCTGTTTGGTTCTTCTTCCTTCTTCTAAAGGCAGGAAGGACCGTGGTC